CCTGCTGGGCTCAGGTGATCCTTCCGCTTCAGCCTTCCAAGTAGCTGGAAATACAGGCATGTGCCACCATGCCCAGCTACTTTTTTTTTTTTTGATTGATTGTAGAGGTGAGGTCTCACCAAGTTGCCCAGGCTGGTCTCGAACTCGTGGGCTCAGGCAATCCTCCCACTTCGGTCTCCTTAAGTGCTGGGATTACTGGCGTGAGCCACTGCACCCGGCCTCAATCTCTCATTTTATTTTATTTTTTTTGAGTTGGAGTCTCACTCTGTCGCCCAGACTGGAGTGCAGTGGTCACTCCCGGCCACCGCAGCCTCGACTTGCTGGGCTCTGGCGATCCTTCCGCCTCAGCCTTCCAAGTAGCTGGAATTACAGGCATGTGCTACCACGTCTGGCTGACTTTTTGATTTATTGTAGAGATGAGGTCTCGCTGCCCAGGTGGGTGTCGAACCCGCAGGCGCAGATAATCCACTCACCTCAGCCTCCCAAAGGCGCGGGTTTACAGGCTGAGCCTTCGAGCCCGGCTTCAACCTCTCATTTTAAAGCAGCTCATATCAAAAGGCAAAGGAGAGAGGAGGTCATGGTCTGCCAAGTTTTATTGGTAGAGTCTGGTGACCTTGAACCACAGAAAGCTGCAAGAAGTGGTTTGGAGAGTAAGGCGGTGTCATGGGGAAGGGCTGATTAGGAGCGGGTCCTTCCGCCAGACCCTGACAGAGCCCTTTAGGTGGAGGGCACAGGACGCCTGAGGCAGGAGATGGCTGGGGTAAGTCCAGGCAGGCGGCAGCAGGGCTGCCACCGAGAGCCAAGGCTTGCCCGGCCTGGCCCCTGCAGGTCTCAGGCCCTGGGGTCATACACTCGCCCCATGAAGACAGGGAACTTGTGCTTCTGGTCCCAGAGCAGGAAGAGGAAGGGCTGTTGCACTTCAAAGATCTGCAAGGTGCGGGCCACGGACACGGCAGTGGCCGCAGCAGCCTCCACCCCAGACTCCGTCAGCTCCAACACGGTCTGGTGCTGCATCGCCGAAACCTGGAGATCCGGGTCCTCTGTCAGCCCACACAGGTTGAGGTCGTAGGAAAAGTCAAAGAATTCTAAGGCAAAGTCAGAGAAAAACCAGAGTCAGAGACCAGCTCGGAGCCCTCAGCGGATGGAGACCTTTGTACTGTATGTTCTGGGTTTGTCCTGAGTCCCAATAGTTTCTTCCTCCTCCTCCCTCATTTGTGAGAGTATATATATCCAGATGTCTGGTTCAGGGTGTGGGACCCTCCATCACTGGCCCGAACTGTCACTCTCTCTCAAGAGGAGAGAGGCTGGCCGGGTACACTGGCTCATGCCTGTAATCCCAGCGCTTTGGGAGGCTGAGGCGAGGATTGCCTGAGATCAGGGATTAGAGACCAGCCTGGGCAACTTGGCGAGACCTCGTCTCTACAATACATCAAAAAATTAGACGGGCATGGTGGTATGCACCTGTAGTTCCAGTTACTTGGAAGGCTGAGGCGGAAGATCGCCTGAGCCCAGCAGGTCCAGGCTGTGGTGGCTGGGAGCATGCCACTGCACTCCAGCCCGGGTGACAGAGTGAGACACTGACTCCAAAAAAAAAAAAAAAAAAAAAGAGGAGAGAGGCCTTGTCCCTCACCCCTAAAAAATGATGTAACTGCTTCCGTATCTCCTAGGACCTGGGAAGCAAGGAAGTATCTCCAAGACAGGCCAGGTATTATAAAATGACATTACAGACAAGCCTGTGATGTTGTGGAATTATGAGAAATATATGTACGTATATGTGTGTGTGTGTGATCTGCCCCCGATTACTGACTTAGAGCTCCTAAAACCTGTATAATTTCCAAAGCAATGGGGGTGATAGGAGCATCTTTTGTTCTAATATTTGGTCTTTGATCTCAGTTCCTGACACAGAGTTCCTAAATCCCTTGGAATTTCCTTGGTGATGGGAATGACCTTCTTGCTTGTTTGTTTCGAGTCGGGGTCTCCCTCTGTCGCTCAGGCTAGAGTGCAGTGGCACGATCACGGCTCACCGCAGCCTTGATTGCCTCCTGGGCTCAGGCGATCCTTCCACTTCAGCCTCCTGAGTAGCTGGGACTACAGATGTGCACCACCACATCCAGCTAGTTCTTTCATTTTTTTTGTAGAGATGAGGTCTCGCTATGTTGTCCAGTCTGGTCTCAAACTTCTGGGCTCAAGCAATCCTCCCGCCTTGGCCTCCCAAGGTGATGGGCTTACAGGTATGAGCCACTGTGTCTGGCCTGGAACATCTTTCTTTTATGGTAATGAGGTAACTCCTGGATAGAGGCTAGTCACCCAAAAGACATGAGAGAAGCTTGGAACTTTGAGCTCTACCCTTCATTCTCTGGGGAGGGGAGAGGAGCTGGTGTCTGAGTTAATAATCAACCAAGCCTGCATGATAAAGCCTTCATGAAAAACCCTGAAGTATAGGGTTCTGAGAGCAACTGGGTGGGTGAACATATATGTGCGCCAGGAGGGTGGCAACTTCAACTCCATGGGACAGAAGCTCCCACGCCTAGGACCTTCCAGACTTTGCCCTATGTATCTCTTCACCTGTATCCATGACCACATCCTTTAATCCTTTCTATAACAAACCAGTGCACAAAAGTATTTCCTGAGTCTTGTCAGCCATTCCAGCAAATGATCCAATCCTCTGACTTCCAGCCTGTTGGTCAGAAGGTGACAACCCGGTCCTGTCACTGACAGGAGTGAGGGCAAGCTTGAGGGACTGAGCCCTTAAACTGTGGGATCTGATGCTATCTCCTGGCAGATGAGTGTCAGAACTGGACTGAATGGCAGGACACCCAGTGGGTGTCCTCAGAGAACTGAACTGCTTAGAGTGGGGAAAATACCTCTACGCATTTGGCTTGACACGCTGGGTGACTGTTTAGAGACAGTTTATTTTTCCGATGCAGATGCCACATACGAGGAAATGAGATCATGTGTGATGCGGTCAAGTTCTCTGCCAGGAAATGAAGTGACAGAGCTGGGCATGAGGTCAAAGGTTAGGAAATACAAGTCTTGGTTGATGCTCCTAAACTCACAAGCCTCCGGATCATACCCAGATAGCTTCTGGCATATTCCATGGGGAGGCCGACTATGATGAGACATCCCTAGGGAAGAAGTATCCATAACCCACCTCAGTCACTCGTCCCGCTGTCTACGTGATAATGAATCATAGTGGAAACCATCAAGAGAATGGGAGAACTGGACTGGTGTTCTAGTTTGTCCCTAACTAGCTCAAGGGTAAATCATAGAAGCTTTAGGTAAGTCACATAAAGTTTCCAAGACTCAGTTTCCTCAATGATCAAATGGGAAAGTAGTACCTGTCCCTCTAACTCACAAGGTTGGGAGAGACAATTTGAGACTACAGATGTAAAAAAAATACTCTAGTGCTGAGCGAGGTGGCCCACGCCTGTAACCTCAGTGCTTTGGGAGGCCGAGGCAGGAGGATTGCTTGAGTCCAGGAGTTCAAGACCAGCCCGGGTAACATAGTGAGACCCCACTGCTACAAAAATCAAAATCAAAATCTAGAGAATGCTAGGCACATTTCAGGGATCCCCTTTTCATTCTCTGGTGGCCTGAGAGTGACCCCAAACTGCCAGAGCTCACCGAGTTTCTCCATGACTGTCAGCATGTCCTGGCTGGTCTTCACTTTGATTCGGGGCAAATTTAGAAAGGTGGGCTGGAACTTGGACAGCTCCAGCTTCCTCAGGACGGCCTTTAAGACAGAAGGGCTGAGAGCCAGTTCCAGGTCTTCAAGACGATGTTTCACGTTCTGGGGCACCAGGAGCACCAAACTCAGGTTGTGAGAGAGCTGCAGCTGCCCTACCTAGAGAAGAGAACAAGATGCGTCTCATCAGTTTTGGGGGCTTTTTTTTGAGTCAGAGACTCACTCTGCCACCCAGGCTGGAGTGCAGTGGCACGCTCAAGGCCACTGCAGCCTCAACCTGCTGGACTCAGATGATCCTTCCGCCTCAGCCTTCCAAGTAGCTGGAGCTACAGGCACGCGCCATCAGGCCTGGCTAACTTTTGATTTATTGTAGGGATGCGGTCTTGCCAAGTTGCCCAGGCTGATCTCGAACCCATGGGCTCAGGGAATCTTCTCGCCTCTGCCTCCCAGGTCCTGGGATTACAGGCGTGAACCACCACACCCAGATGTCTTACTACACCCATCCTGGCCTCTGCCCTCTGAGTCCCAAGGCTGTCTTGCAGCCTCTGTGGTTTTTTTTTTTTTTTCTTTTTTTAGTTGGAGTCTCACTCTGCCACCCAGGTTGGAGGCAGTGGCACGATCATGGCTCATCGAAGCCTCAACCACCGAGACTCATGTGATCCTTCCCCCTAGCCTCCTGAGTAGCTGGAACTACAAGCATGTGTCACATGCCTGGCTAATTTTTTGTTTATTTTGTAGAGATGAGGTCTTGCTGTGTAGTCTAGGCTGGTCTCGAACTCCTGGGCTCAAGTGATCCTCTCGTCTTGGCCTCCTTAAGTGCTGGGATTACAGGCATGAGCCTCTGCGGCTGGTCAGTCTGTGCTATTCCAACAAGCAGCAGGCAGACCTAGCTCATAGGCTTTGCCATGAAATGGGGACATCAGTTGGGTGAATGGTGCTAACTCTGTGCCAGTGAGAAGCAGAGGCATGAGCGTGAGTTTCTGATTACAACCCGACTCTAGCACTGACTAGGTAGGTAATACAGGCAACTGATTTGATCTCTCTGAGCTCTATTTCCTTCTTCCCAAGTGTGTTGTGCATACAGACTACATCTTGTATAATGCATTGTCAGAATTAGCAGCTCAGTTCCTTTAAAAACTACTGATGGCTTCTCACTGCCTGCAAGATTAAGGACAAATCTCTTAATGAGGCCAGGCACAGTGGCTGATGCCTGTAATCCCAGCATTTTGGGAGGCTGAGGCGGGAGGATCGCTTGGGCCCAGGAGTTCGAGACTGGCCCGGGCAACACGGCAAAACCTCATCTCCTCAAAAAATAAAAAAAAAATGAAAACTAGCCAGATATGGTGGCACACTCCTGTAGTCTCAGCTCCTCAGGAGGGTGAGGGAGAAGGAAACACATGAGCCCAGGAGGTCGAGGCTGTAATGAGTCAGAATGGAGACACTGCATTCCAGACTGGGTGACAGAGGGACCCTGACAAAAACAAACAAACAAACTTCTTAGTGTGGTGTTGAAGATTGTCCACAAGCTGATCCTCGCCTAACCTTCCAGTTTGCTATGAGAAGGAGGTTGAATGAGTGGCCAGACAAAAGTATATAAGATGTGCAGGACTATGGGCTTAATCCAGGGGTTGTCAGTTCAGGGCAAACTTGCCTCCCAGTCGACGTTTGGTGATGTCTGGAGACATTTCGGTTGTTACAGCCGGTCGGGGGCAGGGAGAATGTGTGCACAGTGTGACTGGTTTCTAGTGAATAGACATCAAGGATGATGTTCAGTCTTACAATGCACAGGACAGTCTTCACAACGGAGAATTATCCAACCCAAAATGTCAATAGTGCCAATGCTGAGAAGCCCGTCTAACAGGATATGAGACTATCATTATGGTTGAGGTTGAAAGATTAACAGGGAGAATCTAGAAGAAGGCAGAATTCGATTGGGCCATAGAAAAATTAAGAGAGGCCAGGTGTGGTGGCTCATGCCTGTAATCCAAGCACTTTGGGAGGCTGAGGTGGGAGGACTGCTTGAGGCCAGGAGTTTGAAATCAGCCTGGGCAACACAGTGAGACCTTATCTCTATATAAAAAGTTGTTTTCTGTAATCCCAGCACTTTGGGAGGCCGAGGTGAGTGGATTGCCTGACCCTGTGGATTCGAGACCACTCCGGGCAATCAGGGGAGACCTCATCCCTATAATAAATCAAAAATTAGCTGGGCATGTAGCACGTGCTTGTAGTTCCAGTTACTTGGAAGGTTGAGGTGGAAGGATCGCCGGAGCCCAACAAGACTAAAAAAAAAATTGTTTTAATA